GGAGGGGGTCCTCCCCTATCAGTGGACTTGGAAAGGGGCAGGGAGGAGACCAGGGAGGGAGTGTGGGGTTGGGGAGGGAATGAGGGAGCGGGATACAGCTGGGACACAGAGTTAACAAAATGTAACTAAAAAGAAAAAAATAAAATTAAAAAAAAAAAAAGGAGACTCATAGGAGGCGTCTGTGTGTTGACGTAAGACGCAAAGTCATCTGTAGCTTCCACACAAACCACCTCTTCACCATTAGGATCCACCGTGGTTTTATCTTAGACTGGCTGACTGTCAATGGTCTTGGGTAAAGGCTTTGGTGGAGCCTTATCACCAAGAGCTCCTCTCTCTAAGTTTTTTTTTTTTTTCTAAGCTGCCAACCTCTCCTTTGGCTGCTGCTGTTTCCACTGTGTGAGCATCAAGGGTCCCTGCAGTTTGTTCTTAATCTCCGAGATACTGGAGCCTGGAGGGAAGGCAGCTGCTTTGGCGGGCTGCAGCTGCCTCTCTGACACTGCACCGCTCAAGACTGCGGCCTCCTGAGGCTCTTCGGTGGCGCTTTCCTCTTCGAGCCTCTCTTGCCGCCCCTGCCGCTCTTCTCCCTGACAATCGCCAGGTTGCTTCTGTACATTTTATGTTGTGTGTGTGAACTATTTGTCTGCAGCTACGTGCAGCACACACATGGCTGTTGGATCCCGTGGAACTGGTGTTATAGATGGCTGTGAGCCACCGCGCGGGTGTTGAAATTGAACCTGGGTCCTCTGCAAGAGCAGCAAGTCCTCTTAAGCATTAAACCATCTCCGCGGACCTCTCACTGAGACTCTCTTCCCAGGGGATTCTACATCATGTCAATTTAACAGTTAAAACTAATCTTCACATAGGATTATGGCGTCAGAGCTGGTGGCCTGAGTCTTGAACCCTGAATGTCACCCTCCTGCTCATAAAAGCCTTTTAAGAAACAACTTTTAAAGCTTGGCACAATGGTGCTCACCTGTAACCCCGGGGGGGGGGGGGGGAAACACTTAAAAATTACGTTTACAGTATTTTTTGTTTTTTTCTGGCTTTTTTCAAGACAGGGTTTCTCTGTGTAGCCCTGGCTGTCCTGGAACTCACTCTGTAGACCAGGCTGTCCCGGAACTCACAGAGATCCACCTGCCTCAGCCTCCCAAGTGCTAGGATTAAAGGTGTGTATCATCACTGCCCAGTTTATTTATGTATTTAAATTTTCCCTGTTAAATTCTTATTTTATGTATATAGATGCTTTGCCTGCACGTGTGTATGTGCAGTGCCTGCACGTGTGTGTGTATGTGCAGCGCCTGCATGTGTGTGTGTATGTGCAGTGCCTGCATGTGTGTATGTATGTACAGTGCCTGCGTGTGTGTATGTATGTGCAGTGCCTGCGTGTGTGTATGTATGTGCAGTGCCTGCGTGTATGTGCAGTGCCTGCATGTGTGTGTGTGTGCAGTACCTGCGTGTGTGTATGTATGTGCAGTGCCTGCATGTGTGTGTATGTGCAGTGCCTGCATGTGTGTATGTGCAGTGCCTGCAT